GATAGATCTGAGTCATTTTGGGTTCCAAGACATTTTAATAAAACTACGGGAAAGAGGTTTTGGTCTTTTAGTCTGAAGTTAAGGTTTTTATACATTTTAGATTGAATTGATTTAAAAATAATAAGGTCAGTTTTGTTAGTATCAAGACTTAGTTTTTTAGAGCGCAGCCAATGAAGAAGGTTGGATAAATCATTATTTATATGTTTGTTAATTTTTTTTAAATGATTTGTTTGTTATAAGTAAGTTGATGTCGTCAGCAAAATGATAAGTCGTTGAAAATGTTAGAGAGATATTAAGATCATTTAAAAAACTTAGGGAAAGCAATTTTCCTAATACAAAAACTTGAGGTACATCCGTGTTGTATTTTATTGGAAAAGGTTTGGCATCATTGATGGAGACAAACTGCAATCTAATAAAAAGATGCGATGAAAACCATCGGAGAGTATTTCCTCAAACACCATAGTGTTCCAACTTTCTTGAGAGGATGGAATGATTAATAGAATCAAAGGCTTTCTCTAAGTCGAGAAACACTCCACATGCAAAAGGTATATTGTCAAGTGCATGAGTTGAGGAGTGACGTCAAAAACCTCCTATGTTGTATGAAAAGGTAAAGAAGGGGTCGCAAATAAAATTTCTCAAAGATTTTCCAGAAGTAACTGGAGTTAGTTTTACAACAGATCTCTGGACAAGTTAAAATAATAATTCCTACATGAGTCTGACAATTCACTACATTAGTTCAGACTTTAATTTAGAAAGTTTTCTCATTTGTTGCGCACCATTTACTGGTGGGGTGCTATTGCAGTACACCGGGACTCTTATATTGCTAATTTAAACTTAAATGAAGAAGTCCATTGAGCTGCGTTAATGACAATGGTAGCAACATTGTTTTATCTGCTAAAGAAAGTGATGGAATTAATTCAGAATTGCGCTGCAATGATCACACAATCCAGCTAGTTATTGTTAAAGCAATCAAAATTTCAGTTTAACTTTTTAAAGCAATAAAAATTGTCCAGATTTAGCATCAAACATAGAAGTGTACTCTCTACAATCAAGCTTCAAGATGAAGAACTTGGAATTAAGCCCAGGAAATTGATTGTTCCACGTACAATACGATAGAATTCTGATTACATGTACAAAAATTTAGTCCTTAAAGTCAAAAATGCAATTTAAAGATTTGCAAAAACCAATGATGAGTTTGAAAAGTTATGTCTCTCAGATAAAAAACATTAGAATACAGCAGTCTATTTCTTGAAAAAGTTTACAATATTTCAGTAATCTTCTCAGCCGATAAAAGAGCAACAATCCAAGATGGGATACCTCAATTAAATTCCTTGCACCAAGAGCTTCTTTCCCATCAACATCACAAACACAAGCCAACAAGTATACTTATAAAAATGCTGATGTGTGAATTGAAGGAAAGATATCTCCTTAAGGGTGCTGAACAGCCTATTGTTTTGCAAATTTTTAAGACCAGCGTTACAAAGGCACTTGATAGTATATAAAAAATGTAATGAAATAAAAGAAACAATATTAATTCAGGAAAAAGAGAAAAACACGAAAAGCAAGCAAAACAGACAATAAAAATGATGAAAATGTTAAACTTAATCACCACGAACTGCTTAAAAAAAGACTAAAACAAGATATTTCAGCGCGCAGTGCTTCAACGATGACTAAATTGGGTTTAGAAATTAATCATTATTTAGCAGCCGAAACAACAGATATTTTAGAGTGGTGGAAAATTATGAAGTTGCAGTACCCAACTTTATCAAATTAAGCACGAAAATATTTTTGTATACCAGCAACTTCTGCAACTTCGGAGAGGGTTTTTTCTACGGCTGGTAACGTTGTCACTATCAGAAGAACTACTTTGACGGTTGAAAATGTTTGAAAAATTGTTTACATAAAAGAAAGTATTAAAAAAATAAAAATTTAATTTTTAGCTTTCTTTGGTATTTTTAAAAATATGTAATTCTAAATTTATTAAATAAATGACCTCCGAAACTTTGTTTTGTTTTTAACTGAAATTGAACCGAACTGATCAAAAAAAAGTTTAAACCGAACCGAAAAAAACCGTTACATTTGTTTTTAAAACTGAATCGAAAAAAACGGAACCGAAAAAAATCTTAACCGCGTAGCCTTATGTGGGGATACTATTTGGTCCTAAACTTTTACCATTTTGTAAATTATTTTTTATTAAAGCAGACACCACATTTTTTGTCACTGGATTAAGAAAGATAGAATTAGAATTAGCATTTTTTAAATAGTCAGAGAAGATAATTTTAGAAGAAATCATATTACTTTTGAGTGGGTGTTGTATTATTTCATAGTATTTGTTAAAATTGCTAGCAACAGCCATACTGTCTGCATGACGATCAAAAATTGTGTTGAATTTTTTTTTAAAAAGAAGTTCAAAGATTCATTGATATCATTACCATTTTTGATATAAAACTTTCATTCAATATTAGAAATATCCTGAATAAATTCATTATCATTGAAATTCTTAAATGATCGTTTAGTTATTATAAAATTTTTTTGAAAGGAATACTAGGAATGCAAACAAACTGTGTCATGTGATATGAAGTTGATATTATTAGATTGTCAGAAATAAGATAAGAAATTTGAAAATTTAAAAAGATGTTACCAATCATTGTTTTAGATTTACAGATTACTCGCGTTGGTTGAATAATTGTTGGGTAAAAAGAGTAAGAACAAAGTGAGCCAAGGTAAACGGTAATAAGAGATTCATTTTAGTTTAGTAAGTCCATGTTAAAGTCACCCATCAGCATAACCTTTTTATTTTTTAAGTAAAGAATAAAAATAAGCAGAAATAATACCCTTTGGGTGCATTGAAAAATGCCGGTATATGCAGTCAATGATGATATTTTTTTTAAAAACTTTTTAATAAAGATAGATTTTTGGTTTTTTGAGACATATACTATAAGATCTCTTCTAACAAGTAATTGTTAGAAGAGATCTCTCATTTAAATTGGATTGTAAGTATAGAAGAGCACACTTTTTTTTAGCTTCAGGGGGGCATTGTTCGATGATATAGCCATTTATAATTATGTCATTTATATTAGAGTGGTTAAAGTACAATATAAATTCCGAAACTCCAAATACTTTGAAAGAATGGTAAGTGAACTTATGAGAGTGTAAAGATCATTAATATGAAAGTGCAAAGAACCAATGTTAGATGAAGGTACAATACAGAACCTAATTTTAAAGTTTCATTAAGATCAAGAATATCGTAGTATTTGCAGTTAGAATAAATGTTAAAGATTTCGTTCATATCTTTAAACAAATTTTTGAATTGTATTTCTCTAAAGAATTTAAGGAACTGATAAGTAGAGTCTGACATGATATAGTTAAAGAAAATTTAAGGTCCGAAAGTGTGCTAAATGGCATATCCTTAATTATGCAGTCACTGCAGAACCAGTCAGAAAAGTCTTTGTCAAGAAAACAAGAAAATAAGAGGTTATACAAAATTTTGTTGAATAAATTGCATTTAACATGAATCCAGGAAGAACAACATTTACGCAACATGCCTCACTGATGATTGGCCACTGCTTTATTACAGAACTTATAATGGTAGTTAATTGCCTTGTAAAAATATAAGTTAAAAACAAAGCAATAATATATAAACTATGTTATAAATCAATAATAAATAAACATAGTATAATATAAAATAAAGGATATAATAATTAACAAGTAATCATAAAAAGTATATAGTATATAGAACTTTAAATAGGTAGTATCATCTAAAAAAATAGATTATGTTTTTTGTTGTTGAAAAATATATAGTTATGATACAAAAATAACGTAAAAAAATAGTTACTGTGTGATTTAATTTGGTAACCTTCGAGTGCGTAGTTTTCAAGAAAATATATTTTTGTGACGACACTTTAGTAAGGTTAGTGCAGTTTTTTAGTGACGTTAATGAGTACATTAACGTCACAAAAACTGCTTACTTTTTCTCACAAGAAACCTCTAATAATTTTTTACAAAGTTATGAAAGAAACGTTAAACAAACAAAAAAAGAAACAATATCCAAATTTTGACACGAAAACAAATATTTGCTTGACAACTAGGAACCTAAAGTTGAAAAAATTGAACCACGCTTGCAAACAATAAAAGCTTAATAATTGTTGTTGTACGTCACATTTGTATAATAAAAATGTATTTTTAAAGAAAAAAAAAAACACTATATAGTTATCTTTTATTTTATTTCTTAAAAAAAAATTTCCTGCGTAGATACCATTCCTCGAGCACTCTTGCTAAAGGTATGCATACAGAAAAGTAACTTTAATTATAATTATAAATATAAACAGAGCCGGTACAAAGGGGAGCCACGTGGGGGATGGCATTTAAATTTTTGCTGACTAAAGTAAAAAAATTTTCGGACTGACTGGTCTAAAAGGTTTACATTTGTTGAGTGAGTTGCCGAATCACTTTTAAATTAAATTTTGAATAAGAAGTATTTTTGCCCCCAAGATTGTTGAATATTTACTAGATCTCTAATATTTTGAAGAAAAAATGTCATTTGAAAGTAAGTCAACCTAGAACTGAAAAGCTCAAAAGAAGCAAATAAAAGATATTATAAAAAACTTGGAAAAATAAAAGCAATGAAATTGAAATAGTATTTTTTCTCTACAACAACTATTATTTTTAAAACTTTGATCTAATATCATTTGAGTAACAGGTTAATTTAGATTTGATAATCTTTTTTTTTTGTTAATATTAACAACGCTGTAAATGTTCAAGGTTCATCGGGGCAAATATTTTTTATTCAAAAGTATAAAAAAGTTGAAAGGCAGTTTTTAAAAATTGTTATATATATATATATATATATATATATATATATATATATATATATATATATATATATATATATATATATATATAAAGTAAAACTATTATAAATAAAACTATAATAAAAATTAAACAACATAAATTTATCCTCAATTCAAGTTTAAATGTTTTGTATTTTATCACATGGCAAG